TTGACAAGAACATATGGTCTGAGAGGCAGGTTGACGGGATCTAACCTAGTTTTCCATCCTGGATTTTTTAAAAGCATCCCTGAAGCTTGCTTTCCCCTCCATGCACATTGTTCGAGCAACTCCACATCCAGTCACATGGAACCCAAGGCGGGCAAGAGAGCCGGGCGTGGGGGGCCTGTGTCCCCCGTTTTCCTTCTGGGGTGCAGTGTGACTGGGCCCTCCCTTCAGCATTGCCATGGCTGGAATTTTGTTCTCAGGCTTCAGCTGGGGACTCCCATATATCGAAAGCACACCAGGCACGTGGGTGGATTGGGACCCTCTTCTCTTGCCCCCGATTTTCTTTGAGGGAGCCACTTGCGAAGGAAATGTGGCCCTGAGAGCCATCCCAAACCTCCTGTAGACCGAGACCGAGCACAGATGCGCGTTTACGCTCCCCAAGCGAACCTAGTCCTGAACCGGACTTGGTCCGTCCTGTGGGCGAAAAGCTATTTTCATGTATTTTGTGCCATATGAACCCTTTATGATTTGGAGCGAGCGTGTTTTAAATTAAGCACCTTTACTGAATGTTCACAACAGCTTCTTGCAGCCTTCGAAGACTCCACATTTCTGTGACAAATGCTCCACAGCAAGTTTCTTCTCTTGTAAAAGGAGCTCCAGGTCTCTGGCGCATCGAGCAGGTTTTAATGAGTGCCTTATAGCTTGCAATGCTGTGATTATAGATGGAGGCCGCTTTCCTTTAATCCATTTAGCCACTCCTCAGATCTGGGGAAGCAACTTCCAAAGGAGAGTGTTGGGAACCACAATGCCGCCGAGGTGAGCACATGAAGGCAAGCCTCCAAATTTGTAGCTTGTCTTATTTCAGCCTCAGGCAGCCGGAAGTGGATCTCCAGATGTCTTCAGCTGGACTTCAGCTCCCAGCATTCCTGATCACTCAAGGGCTTCTGGGAGCTGGAGTCCAAAATATCTGGAGAGCCACTCGATACAGCTCTGATTGTCCATGCTTTTGTAAAGACACTGCAAGGGTACATAAGCCTAAACTTGGTAAAAAGCGGGTTAGATCCAGACGTAAGTCATCCTGACATTTGACTCATTGAAATCAACAGGACTTAAGCTAGTCAATAAGTCTACTCTAAACATGACTGAGTCTGGATCCAACCCAGCATTTTCTAAAATAGTAACCATCCTTGTTAACCCGTTGCAAAACCAATCACAATTCTTGAGATGTCTTAAAAGTTAACGGATGCAGTTGTGTAAGCAAGAACTTACTTCATTAGACCCATGAAGTGGACGGCAAAGAAGCTGGAGACGCAGAAGTAGTTTGGGTGCAGAAAATAGAACAAAGCTTTTAACAAAGCTTTGAAAAATAATGAACTAGTTTGCTAAAAGCATGTGTTAGCCAGGTTGTTTTGGGGATTATGGGAATTGTGGTCCAACAAATCTGGAGGCTGCCATGATGGGAAGCTGTTATATATGAATCTAATCAATTAAAACAAGAAAAATATGCTTCTAACAGGTCCACAAATGTGTCAATTGAACTGGAGGCAGCAGCCATTGCTGCTGGAGCAAAATTTGCACAATACTATGTGTAAATTAATTGTAGTTTGCAGTGAGATAACCTAAGTCACAATTAAGGCATGAAACCGCTAATGCACCCTGGTTCTTTGGCCTCCCAATCTATCGCTTAAAATATCTCCAGTGCAGGGCTCTTTTGAGGGCAGAAATGAATATTTCAAGATGAACCTTTGCATTATATTAATGTTGCGCAAACTAGTTTTATTGTCTGCAAAACAGCCTGCATTCCGATTTATTGAGGTTGTGCGTGCCTGCTAGCACATTCTTTGAGCATTTGGAACTTGGAATGGAACGGATAGTGAAAACCCAATGTAGCTCTTAAATTTTTTTAAAGGTGTTAACTTCTGTTTGCCTGAGTTCAACAAGTACTTGATAATGAGTAACAGTCATTCTTCCGTACACAGAATGTGTTGTGATCTGCTGCAGAGCTATTGCCGAATCGGGGATTAACTCTGCCCCCGTCAGTCCTAGGGTCTTTTAGCTGGCCCATCGATTTGAGGCCGTTCTGTTCACATTTGCCGACCGTGGGAGCTGCTGGGAATACACCTGGCCCTGTCCTGGCCCAGCTTTCTGCTCCTTCGGATATTCTTGCACTCCTTGCCTGATCGGATAGCCATGACTGATTCCAGTAGTAACTTCAGCAGTAAAGTCTGTCACTTCTGCACTGTCTGTAATGTGCCTTCCCTTTCCCCCAGGCTAAGAAAGACAAGAACAATGATCACAGAGCCTCTGGAAATAAATACGTGCCTGTGGAGGATTCTTCCTTTTAGAAGTTTACTCTTCCCAACAGAGTCTAAGTAGGACAACCGAAAGTGCACTCTTTTAGTGATGACATATAATGCTTAAGAAACGATGGTTTGCCATATCTTGGCACGCCGGAATTGGAAACCGTGGCTTGAAATGGGTTTTCAGATCTGCTGAGATGGCGACTCTGCTTGATTTATCAGCTCTGCTTTCTGAGGGTGTTTTATCTAGAGACTGGAAGGCTGGACAGATAGAAGATGAATGTAAACAAGTGGTTCTTAACGATTCATTTGGAAACTCAAATAATAGCTTTGGTTCTAATATCTAGTTAGAGCAAACCCACAGTGTCCTGTGATTTCTGAATTAAGCCAGTGACAATGTCATGGCTTGGGTCATATGCCACCTCCCAACTTATGTGCATCCAGCTGTAGGGATGGAAAGGGACTTAGTTGTTTTTTAAATGCATTACAATTGATTTTGAGGCATTTATTTAAAAATCACCCATGGGCCCCACAAAACAATGCACAATTTAAAACAGTTCTGTAGCTGTTTAAAATTGGATGTTCTCCACCAGCTTCAGCATGTTGAAACTTAAGGCCCTCTCATTGCCTCTCCTGTTAATGGGATATGCAAATGCCCCCTTAATGAAGATGGCAAATTACGGGCAGGCCAACGCAACGCAGAGAGTCCTTGCAGGTGTGCACAGGAGCTCCCGAATGATCCTTTGAGCACATGTGCATGTGTGAATGCAAGTCTAGTGTTGTTCCACCAGGCCTTGCACATGGAAAAGGGTTCCAAAGAGCGAAAACGGAGTGTGATGGAATGGTTGGAACAGACCACAAGGGAGCGAGACACTCCTAGGCACCAGTTATTAAGTGGAGAGAAATGGGACATTCTCCAACGTGAGCAGTGCAGTGCCTTCTTCCAGGATACTCAATTCCATTCCCCCATCCCTGGTTGGTTGCCACGCTGGGTTTCGCATGCCCAGAGTTACTTCCTGGTATGGCTGGCTGGTGGCGGTTTGACCACGAAAGGATCCACACGCACAGAAGACCTTCCCTGTCGATAGATAGGTCTGTGTGCGCAGGGTCAGTGCCGTGCTTATTTCAGGGCCGGGTTTGCAAGGCAAGACATACTCGGAATGGCTTTCCCATTGCCCCCTTCTGTGCAGTGCGAACCAGAGCTAGCTTGACGTCCCTGCCATTGTCCAAGAGAGACCCCGGCCAGTGTCTCCTTCAGCCAGTGCTGCTGCCCTTCAGGAGTTATTTCCATCTCCTTCACTGCTGGAAGTATTAATTCTCTCCTGCCGAAGAGGGTGAGCACGGCTGACGAAGGCCTGGGGTGATCCTTTTGGGAGTCCTGGTAGCACTGGCCTTGTCTTCCTCCAAGAGAGGTCTTTCACAGCAAGGTAAGGCTCACTGGAGCAGGTAGACATGCTAGGCAAACACCGGAGGAGGAGGAGGAGGAACACAAAATGGATCAACTCCGTCAAGGAAGCCACTGCCTTGCGTTCAGGGTTGTCAAGGGTGCGTTTGGGGGACCTCCGTCATTGGGTTGCCCTAAGCTGGAGCTGACTTGACGCCATGTAAGAATAATGTCCTGGTCTTCAACTAATAACTCGCTGAACTTTATAAGGGCTGTGAGGAACGCAGAAACTCGTAAAATCCATGTGACGAATGAAGAAGCTTTCACAACTAGGAACACGGTTTGCTCCTTGGCCCGTTGAAGACTCGGTGCTGTCTCATTCTCAGCATGGCACGTGTTCCGATCCTAGCTGTGCATGGTAACGGGATGTTCCCTGTCTTTGGAAGAAGCCCTTCCAAGCACGACGAATGATTCTGGATCCACGCTAAAAGCGCTGTCCTCTCTGACCAACTTAAAGGCAAGAAAGAGCAACACACTTTGATCAGTCGCAAGAGCAGAGGGGTAATTCTTACTCAGCTCTTTCTGCCTCTTTTCTATCCGAAATTCTGGTTGGCTGGCACGGCCCATGGAAACCTTGGATCATGTTTCTGGATTCTCTTCCTTGTCACCAAGCCAGCTTTGCATTCCTTTCTCGGCATATATCTAGCCAACATAAATGCAAGCAAATATAGGCATGTTGGAATGCATTGTAATGTTTACTTTGACAGTTGTACCAGCTTTAAGGCTGCACGGCCAAGTCCCAACCAGAAGCAAGTCCTCTCAGGCGCAGTGGAATTTACTCCCGAGTAAGCAAGCGCAGTGCTGCGGCCTCGAAAGGGAAAATGGAGGTTGCTAGTGCAACGGAGAACGCCGCTTCACGTGCAATGGCATTTGCTTTCAGTTGAGTTGTAGTTCTTGCTCTTTTATTCATGGCTAAATTGCGTTCATTGCTGTGGGTTTCTCTTGATGCGGCCTGCAGCTGGGGATGAGGGGTGCAGCTGGATTTTAGGAAGGGAGCATTGGTAGCCGGCTGAAGCCCTGCACACCACCCTGCGACTTTCTCTAGCAGCTCCCACTGGTCCAGGAAGAGCCGCAACAGGCAGTGTGCAGGAGGCGTGATGCCAACATTGCGGCCACCCCTGCATTTCAGGCTGTCAAATGGCTGCCCTTCAGAAAGGAGGCTTTGCAGCAGGTGATGTAGAGCGAATATCATAAAACCACTGCACGAACCTCTTGGGTGTCGATTTAGTGGGCGGTCTGGCGTTCCTCGGCTTGAGACTGCCTTGAGTGTCCACTGCCCCAGGCCCCAGAAGGTCACCCCAGACGCTGTTCTGCGCCTCTTTTTGGGTCCCTCCTGCCTCGCCCCACTTGGTGTCCTACTTGCTGTTTGCACGCAGGCCTGGCGAAGCGTCTCTCCGTGTTTCCACCGGCACAGCCCTGCAAGAACCACTCCTTTGGTTCTGTCGTCTGCATTAGTTCTAAGAGGAAACGACAAGCCATTTCAGACCCAGGCCGCCTTGATGGCTGGAGCGACGCAGGCCGAGGTGGGTTATCTGTTCAAGCTGAGCGTTCCTGCTCGGGGATGAAGAGGGATGCTGGCTTCAGGAAGGCCCTTGCTTTCCGCTCTTCTCTGTCCTCCGGTTAAGGGTGGTCTGCAGACATGCAGCGCAGTAGGATCGTCCTCGCCCCGAATGGGTGCGGGAGCCACAAAGCGTGGACGTCCATCGGGAAAGGAGAAAGGAAGAGGTGGGGTTGGAGGGGAAGAGGGAGCGGCTGCCTGCCTGCCTCCCTTTGATAAGGCGTTCAGGATGCACTGCAACCTTTTGCCGCCAGGAGAGGCGCACGGATCTGGCCGGGACCTGCTCGCCGCCTTGTCCCACCCTCTGCCCCGGCCGGGAAGCGAGCTGAGGCGGGACCAGCCCACGAGCACGAGCAGGCGGCGGCTTCTCCCGTTCAGTCCGCCAGCCCTGTGGCACCCGGGCGCGAGCTGCCGCACGGCCTTCCCCCCGTGCCCTGTGGGGGGCACTTGCGGGCGAGTGGGGGGGTTGCATTGGCATCGCCTCGGGGGAGTCCTGCCCGAGTCGGGCACCACGCTGCCCTGCTTCGCTCTTGTGCCCACAGCCAGCCGCGGCACCCGGAAGCCTCTCTTCTCCTCGCTGAATGAAGGCGGCACACAGCTCAGCTCCATCCCGCCTGTGACTTTGTCAATTTTGACCCGTTATCAGATGCACAAAAATAGCTGAATGCAGTGGCAGTGACTTTCTCGAAAACAAGACCGAGTGCACCCTGCGAGAGGAGATAAGAAGCTGGAGGCTGATATAAATACACGGCTGTTAACGCTCTCCTTAATTAAAGGACTGCATTTTGTAAGGACTGCATTTTGTAAATTTTGTTACGCATTTTCGTGTGGCGCACGAAGCATAAACAGCTCCGCGGACGAAAGGAACCTTCTCCGCTGGTGAAAGCCGCTGCGGCCTGGACTGGGGCCAGATGCCCGGAGTCCTCTTTGCTGCAGCAGCCCAGTGCTCAGAAGGTGGAAGAGGCAAGCGGGCGCAAGGCAAGCCCAGCCCAGTTCCCTCCGATTTCAGTCGAACTGTCCATAGCTTTCTCAAATCAGTAATAGTTAAAGGGGGAGGGCGGTTCCGCAACGGAGCATTGCAACGGTGTGTCCCAGCTCGCAGACAAACTCCGGGGATGCAGGAGAATCTTATGTCATGTCGGACGTTGGGGATGCCAGGCGGATTCTACCGGGCAGTGAAAAATCCCCCACCTGCACTGTAAATGTATATTTTTTAAAACCAATATTTAAATACGGTTGTTAAGAATTTAGAGTGTGAGACCAAGCATGCCTTGTCTGATGAAACAAACAAACAAACTGGAGGTGAGCTCACACAAAGATCCGGTTGCTCTTGGCCTTAGGATTTCTGGTTAGGTTTGAACCATTTTGCATCTGGGGCCGGGATCCCCACTGGCGGGCATGATGACAGGTCAAGTTGGCTCAGCCTTAAAACTCTGCCACTTTGGGGGACCTTGGGAAAAACTGCTGCTGGGGATAGATGGGCCTCCGTGACTTTCTGATCTCGACAGATAATTTTTTTGTTGATTTGGGTGCTTGGAATTGGTCCTGTGATCCAAGGGGCTTAATTCCGCGTGCTCCTAAATTCTTTGCCTTGCTTGGCGTGTGCTCTCCTGCTTCTTAATTTGCTGCTGGACTAGAAGCACTGAAATGGCCGGGAAGACAGCAAAAGCCACCAAAGGAAATGCGTGTGACCAGATGGGAACACACAGTCAGTGCCTCAGTGACAGCATATATGCCAGCAATTTTCAAGGAGGCTCCATCAACCATTTCCATTGTTCCGGTTTTCATTAAACGCCATCAGCCCTGCTTCTTGGGAGAAGTATTTCTGCTTGTTTTGGGGACCCATCTTGGGGTTCTCCTGGGTTGGTTTTCTGGATGAGAGTGAAGATCTAGGGTCCTCTTTGGGAATGGATTCTGTTCGGGAATCTCAGATTCTGCCTTTGGAATCTTGCTATTGAGCTATTCCATGTGGATCATGGTGTTAAATATTCTCCGAGGTGCTGCTGCCTGGGCTGAGAGATCCACAGAGTTCTCTGACGGAATAAAGGAGATGGAGCTTTGCAGTCCCTTTGCTTCGAGCAAACCCCGTTTATGGTCCTAGTTGTTTGGGGCCAATGGGAATTGCTCCTGGCTTGGCTTTGGCTTATGGTTGCCCTGCGTGCTTGCCAGGACCGATGGGAGAAGCTCTCCTTCTTCCACCAGCGATGGAGGAGGGTCTGGCTTGGGCCAGGGCCAGACCTTCCTGTGGCTCTGCCTCCGCTGTGGAGCAGCCTCCCTAGGGAAGTCCATTTGACTTGACCTTCAGCTCTCAGGCAAAAATATTTCTTTTCGGCACACATTTGACCTGCCCGGTTGAGAAGTTTTACCAAGCCGTCTCTGTGGGCATGTTTAGATGTTGCCCAAAGTCACTCGGCAAAAACGCCAAGGTGCCCGGCTTGATTGCTGACCATGTGCCACAGATATTAGGCTCACCGTTCTCTGTCACCTTCCCCCTTGGTCTTGCAGCCAGAATCCCAGGGTCCTTCCGGACAGAGTCTGTCTTGTCTCCACATTCCCAGTTTAACCACTGTCCCTTTTCATTGGCTGTGTTTTTTAAATTTTATTTCCCAGATCCTCACAGGATCATATTTTCATTATCATTTTAACCCCTAAAATTGCATATGTTAAAAAAAAAACCTTATTTGTTGCTGGTCTTTTGCAAATGTACACTTAACAGCTTTCTGAAGTTTGTAGGCACCGTCAACTTCCTTATCTATTTCAGTTGTCAAAGGAAGCAAGGAAATTGCGCCACCAAAGCAAGGCTGCGTAAAGCTGATTTTTGTCCAGTTGCTTCCTTTCGGCGGAAAACCCACAATTAAAGAGAGGAAAGTGGCAAAGAAGTTTCACCAAAGGGAACCCAACCCTTGACTGGGTGATCATTTGGTGTTGAGCTGGCAGTTCTCATTGGCCTCCAATTTTTCAGCACTATCCCAGTCTGCAAAAGTATATTCTGAAAAAGGGGGTTATTAACCCAGGGCAGTTGCTGCCAGATTCCCTCTCTGTGTACTTCTCAGCCCTTTAGTCAGCACAGATCTCCCTTTCATTGGCTTCCCTGCGATCCAGCATTTCTACATTTTTTTTAAAAAGAGCTGTTGGAAAACTGTAGAAACTGCAGCTCACTCCCTTTTGGGGAGTAAACACTTTATACATAATGTAAAACTCTCTCACACACACAGGTGCACATAACTCTAAAACTGGCTTGAACAACCAAAATTTAAAATCAACCATAAGAAAAACTTGATTAAAATGCTTAAGAACCTCGGGGACCACATGTTGGCAGATGACGTCCTTATGAAAGAGCCAACCTGAGTCTTCCGCATCCTTTTCAGAGCTTCTTTTGAGAAAACCTGTTCTAAAGTTGCCATAGTGACCAGCCTTCCCTCTGGGAACACATCTTGTAGATAGCATAAACCCTTTTCTTTCCATGACCTATATTGGAAGCATTTGTACATTGTTTGCGTAATTAAATCTGTATTGGAAAAGTACTGATTGCCACCTTTGAAAACCAGCAGCAGGGCTGTCTGAGGCTTAGGGTGAATGTCCTCCTAGCTGGTAATTCAGAAAAATTGCCTCCAAGAAATACTTTGCTTTAAACCTTCGCATGTTGCTTTCCTTTTAGAAAAATGTCAAAGCAGTCTTAAAATATCGCACTTGCAAAAACCGTGAGGGTTATAAATCCCTCTCTTTCTCCAAGGACAGGACTGCCGAATCAGCAGCAGCTTCAGGGAGTGCTTGAGAAGGAAAGTTCTGCTTATAGAACTCCTGGAAGAGCATCACTTGGGTGCCTTCCGCACTACAGGTCACAGGATTTCAGGCACGGGGGGCCACCAAAGGGAAGGCCCTGCTCTGCATGTGGGAGAACAGGGAGTGTCACAGGAGTGGTTTGTTTGCTTATTATTTATTTATTTGGAGTTTTTGTATGCCGTCCCATTCGCATGAGCCTCGGGACAGCTCCCAACACAATAAATAAACAAGCATAAAAATAATACATATTAAAATCCGGATTCACCCTGGCTGTAGAAATTAAAACCAATAAATAATATTAACAATTATTAAAATATTGTTTAAATAAAAAGGTCTTGGCCTGGCGCCGAAAAGCAAATAATGACGGCGCCAGGCAGACCTCTCTGGGGAGCGCGTTCCATAGGTGGGCGCCACCACAGAGAAGGCCCTCCTCCAGGTGCTCACCCTCCTAATGTCTCTCCCGGAGGGCTCCCAGAGGAGGGCCTCTGCCGCTGATCTCAAGGGGCGGGAGGGCAAATATGGACTCAAGCATTCCTGTCACCCAGAGCCTCCTGGTTTTGGGAGAACCACACATGCTAAACAGTGTATTGGGATTAGAGCAGTAAAGGCATTTAAAAATGCATCTGGGGTGCATGTGTCTAGGAGGAAACAGGCAGCCTGCGCGCGTGTGCCGCGGAATCACTGTCGTGAGCAAGAAGCCTCCCATTCATGTGGGGATACATGGCAGAGACCTTGAGCCCCCTAGGGCTCCACCTCCCAGTCCCTCGCTCAGCCCCATTGCCTTCAGACCCCCGTGCGTGACTGGGGAGAGCTAGGGGGTATCCGCCGCCGGAGGGGCAAGATCTGCTTGGGATCACGCACCCTCCATCTGCATTTGGCACCTGCCTCACCCAGCAGGTCTTCAGTCTCGCAGGATCAGCAGTTTTGTGACTGCGAAACCGCCAGCCTGGCCCATGTCCACCTCCGTTACCCAGGGGGGCCTTGTCCAGGCGTGACCAAAGAGACTACCTTTGCCTTCCAAGATGAAGGTCTCAGGTCTGCAGAGGGCCAAGCTGGGCAGCCATGGGGAAGCATGGCCCAAGCACGGAACCAGTTAGAGGCTAGCTGAGCAACAGATGTGAGTACCTTTTGAGAAAACCGGAGGAATGGAAAGGTTAGACTTGTTGCTTTTGAGGAAGGGAA